ATATAGGTTAGATCAGTCTTAACTAGTGTATCTTTTAAGGCCTCCATTCCCTTGTTGATTTTTTCTCTGGAAGATCTATCCAACGATGTCAGTGGAGCATTAAAGTCCCCCACTATGACTGTATTGCTGTCAGTCTTTCCCTTAAAGTTCAACAAGAAATTGTTTATGTACTTCAGTGTTCTTATATTGGAGATATACACTGAGTGGCCAGATTATTATGATCACTGAATGCATAATAATCTGGCCATTCAGTGTAGATCCTTTATCAGTGGTCGACAAACTCATTAGTCAACAGAGCCAAATATCAACAGTACGATTGAAATTTCTTTTGAGAGCCAAATTTTTTAAACTTAAACTTCTTCTAACACTACTTCTTCAAAACAGACTCGCCCAGGCAGTGGTATTTTGTGGAAGAGCCACACTCAAGGGGCCAAAGAGCTGCATGTGGCTAGTGAGTTGCAGTTTGTCAACCATGGTCCTATATAATAAAAGGCTAATATGCAAATTGTCCCCTTAAACAGGAGTTCGACCAGCAGGCAGGCCAGCCAACCACCCATGTCCCCTCCCCCTGGCCAGGCTGGTTGGACCTCACCCATGCATGAATTCATGCACCAAGACTCTAATATATACATACACACACACTGAGTGGCCAGATTATTATGTGTTCAGATATTATAATAATCTGGCCAAATCAGCGTATGTTTATAAGGGTTAAGTTTCTTGTTAAAACATTCCCTTTAGTATTACATAGTGGCCTTCTTTGTGTCTTATTATGGCTTTTGTCAGGTATGAATATTGATACCACAGATTTTTTTTTTCCAAAATGGAATATTTTTTCCAGTCACCTTACTCTCAGTCTGTGTGCATCTTTTGTTCTAAGGTGGGTCTCTTGTAGACAGCATATATATGGGTCATGTTTTTTTTATCCACTCAGTCATCCTATCTTTTGAGTGGAGCATTCAATCCATTTACATTTAAGGTTATTATTGACAGGTCTTTACTGGCATTTTTATTTTCTTTATACCTGTGATCCTTTTTCTTTCTCTCTGTCTTACCACAGTCCTTTTAGCATTTCTTGCAATGCTGGTTTAGTGGTAGTAAACTCTTTTAGCCTTTTTTGCCTACAAAGCTATTTCTCCTTTAACTTTTAATCATAGCTTTGCTGGATAGAGTTGTCTTGAATTCTACCCCTTGCTTTTTATTACTGTGTATACTTCATGTCACACCCTTCTGATCTGAAGTGTTTCTATAGAGTTGTCAGCTGACATTCTAATGTGAACTCCTTTATAGGTAATGTTCTGTCTCCCTCCCTTGCTGTCTTTAAGGTTCTCTCTTTGCCTTTAATGTTTGCCATTTTAATTATAATGTGTCTACATGTGGGTCTGTTTGGGTATATCTTGATTGGGTATATCTCTGTGCCTCTTGAACTTGTGTGACATTTTCCTTTACCAGGTTGGCAGAAGTTTTCTGTCATTATTTCTTTAAACAGATTCTCTGTGCCTTGCTCACGTGCTTCCCATTCTGATATTCCTATAATGCAGAAATTATTAAGTTTCATGTTGTCCCAGAGCTCCCTTAAACTATCTTCCTGCCTTTTTTTCTTTTTCTACTCACTGTTCTAATTAGGTATTTATTTCTACCTTGTCTTCCAAATTGCTGATCTGATCTTCTGCTTCATCCAATCTATTTTTAATTCCTTACAGTGTGTTCTTGATGTCATGTATGTTACCCTTCATTATGTCTGGTTCTGGTACATGGTTTCTATTTCCTTTTTCATGTTACTATAGTTCCCACTAGATTCAGTATAATTTGTACTAAGCTCTTTAAACACCTTTAGAACCATTACTTTGAACTCTATAGCTGATAGTTTGCTTGCTTACATTTCATTTTGTTCTTTTCTTGGAAATTCCTTTTTCTTTCATGTGGGGGTTGTTTCTTTGCCTCCCCCATTGTAGCTATTTCTTTATATTTTCTTCCATGTATTAGATAGCACTGTTATGACTCTCAGTCTTTGTGAGATGGTTTCATGCAGAAAGTGTCTTGAGGGATCCAGTGGTGCAATCTCTTTGATCTCCTGAACTTGATACTCTAAGAATGCCATATTGTGTGTGCTATTCAGGCTCCCCTGTTGTAATTGGGGCTTGACTGTTGATGTCCCATTCATGGGAGGAATTTCCCCTCCAACTTGATGCCAGTGAAGAAGCTCAAGCCCAATGTCATGTGTCAGCTGACAGAACAGAAGACACACACAAAAAAAAATAACCAAACAAAACAAAACAAACAAACATGAAAATTAAACTATGCAATGCAACAACAATAGGAAGGACAAAGAAAGAAAAAGAAGACACAGCAAAGCAAAGATAAAATAAAAAAGTACTAAAAGACATGTGATCAAAGACTGAGAGGGGATATAAAGAAAAGGGAGAAAGAAGAAGAAATGACTATATGAAAGCAAGGAGGAAGCCAAAAGAAATAGTATAAGAAGAAAAAAGAAAAGGTAACATATATGAAATAATAATAATTAATTTAAAATGTAGTAATAATAGATATATTAAGATGTAGATAGGAAAAGTAAAATGGAAAAAAGAAAAAAAGAGAAAAACAAAATAAGAAAAATTAAGAATACACAAAAGTACAATAGAATCAAAGGAAAGAAATTAGAGATATACAAGCAAAAATAAATAAATAAGAAAAAAAGGGAAAACACACAACAAAAACAAAATAAATCCACACACACACACACAACCACATACACAAAGTCAAAAATCTTTGGGTCTGCTATTTGTGGAGCTCGCTAGATTTTCTTTGATGTTATTGAATCTGGTCCCTTTGTGTGTCTATTCTGGGCTTCCTCAGAGTTTCTGTGGTGCAGGTCAATTGGAGTCACTGTCCCTTTCTGGCCCTGGGCCACCTTATTGAGATCAGAGAATTTGAACCCCTCATTAGTCCAGCTGGCAGGGACTCCTTAACCCAGAGGTTGGGTCTGCCTCAAGTCTCACACCTTGATTGTCCTTGTTAGCTCTATTCCCTTGTCCCATGGATCTGGGCTCTTGGCTGAGATGGTTTGATCAGGTTTGTGTTGGGGCTGGTGCCAGTAGCTGGTAGGAGGGGTGGGGGTAGGCCCTTCCTCTTCTTCTAATGCCTCAGCTATGCCTGGTTTGCTGGCACCTCCTTTCTGTCACCAGCATAGGCACAGATTTCCTGCTCTAGGCTGTTCCTTCTTGCCTCAGGTTACTGCAAGTCAGAAGCAGCTGTTTTGCCAGCGGGAAAGAGGAGACCTCTCCTGCATTCCAGGTGGGCAGGGCTCATCCTCCTTCCTGGACTTATTGCCCAGCCCCCTTTCTGCTCACCATCATGACTTCCTCCAAGAAACAAAGGGCACCTCAGGTTCAATGTTGGCTGTATCCTGAGTTCAGTGTAGGCTCCAGTGTAGTCTGGCCCTGAGCTCAGTTATGTGACCCTTCCCACTGGTCATAGGAGCTTCCCAGGCTGCATGATGGTGGGGTACTATTAATAGTACTATTCTATCCAAGGACTTCAGCCCCAGTATTCCGCTGCTTCAATCACTCCCCAGTTTCTACAGCCAGTGCCTTTGGGGCCTCCTCTCTCAGTCCCAAGTACTTCTGTCTCATCTCCAGATCTGCAGCCTCTTCAATCTCCTCAGCTCCTCAGTTCTAGTAGGTCCATGTCAGGGGAGGTTACATCCACATACGGGCCTTCAGCACAGTTCTTGCCTCTGAGCCTTGGTGGTGGAGCCGAGCAGCTCTAGGGCAGCAGGAGCAGCACAGTGGCAGTGGCAGTGAGTGAGTACATGGCAGGGACGAGAGTCCTGCCTGGTCAATGGAAGTCACACAACAGTGGCACAGAATCCAGGATAGGTCCCTGTTGGGCACATGTGTTCAGGCTGGGTGCATGCCAGGCCCGCAGAGGTTCTGCCTGTGTCTGCAGCTGGCGTGGGCAGGGTCTGGGTTGTCAGTGCTACATATCAGGTAAGTCAACCCTCAGAACTTGCCAAACACTTAACTAGATATTTTGAAAGTAATCAAACTCAATGTTTCCTAGGGAACAAATACAATTGAGGTACATTATTTTGTAGGGGGAAAAAAAAGCGAAAGAATAAATCTAAATGCTAAAATGCAAAGCATTTGTGCAATTGTTAGATTTTTTTTTTACCACTCCCCATGTATAAACAAGCATACAATCATTTAGACAAATCTACTTTAATGTAAGTTAGAAAGTCATAGGAGGCTCAGAGCAAGATAAACAGGTCCATAAATTACAAAGAGTTGCCAGATGGAGACCCTATAGTAATCTCCCTTAACTGCAATTAGCTGGATTTTACAAAGAATCCAAATTTATCTGTGAATTAGCATCCCTAGGCTAACATCATATTTTGGTCTGGGACTCTTAATGACAATAATCACACCTTTGCTAAACTTCAAAAGAACCAGGTCAAAGCCACTTCAGTGTCATGTTTGTGACTTTTTGTTCTTTAATAACTTTCGGCATTGGCATGTCTTTGTCTATTTACAGTTAAAGTGAATTTCCAAGCCCATGGACTTGGAAGTTCTGGCTTCAGCCCTAAAATTCCACATTTCTGCCCTTTCCAGATTCCCTTATCTACTGGGCAGCTTTGTAGCTGTCTCCATGGCAACGCAGGGCCTCTCCTGGCAGGTTTACCTGTCTGGTGAATACGCCCATCAGAGGCGTGTCAGTACCATTTCCTGGAGCAATCTCACAGGGTGGCTCCACTTTCCATTAGTGTTCAAATACTTTGCTGCCTCCTCTGCAGCTGCCAGACCTGCTCCTGCTGCTGCTCAGGTAACTCTCATTTCCCCTTGGCACCACTATAGACAAAGGTGGTTGGTAAAAGGCTTGTACGTGTACCTGCCTGTCTGCCTTCCTATCTTTCCTTTCATGATCTCTCCGTCTCTCTCCTTTTCGCTGTTTTTTTTCCTTAGGGAGAGCATCTGGTGTGTACCTTACTGACCACAGAGAAGATGATGAGTTCAAGCTATTGGAATGAGATGAACAGCAGCAGCTGTGGGATCCCAGAGGTGCTGCAGTGCCAGCCCCAGCATTACCACTGCTACCATCAGTCAAGTCAAGCCCAGCAGCCTCCAGAAAAAAATGTAGTGTATGAGCGAGTGAGGACCTACAGTGGACCCATGAATAAGGTGGTTCAAGCCTTGGATCCCATCGGCTCCCGGGAAGTGCTCTCCCCTCTCAAATCTTCCTCCTCCTACCAAAATTTGGTTTGGAGCGACCATTCTCAGGTACCACAAAGAGAGCTATGTCAGGCTAATAGAGAGGGGACATCTTGAACCTCATTTTTTAAAAATTTAAGTTCTTTATTGTTTAATGTATTACACAAGTCTCCTTTTCTCCCTATTGATCTCTCCCAGGCTTCCCCCAACCCTCAGCACATTCCCTCACCCCCATCCCATCTGTGCCTATTGGGTATGCTCATATGCATGCATACCAGTCCTTTGTCACTTCTTTTCTTTCTGTTTCTCTGCCTCTGTTATAAATAATGTTATTTCTCAGTGGAATACAGCTACGTATTCAAAGTACAGTAAGTCAAAATTTCATCTCTTGGCTATTCTTTCATTTACTCATGCCTATGGTTGTTTGTAACCAGTTCCCATACTTTTCATAATTTAACTACAGCATAGGTTGGCTCATTTTTTTGTTGCATTTGATTGGAATATCTGATCTGAGGTAGTCTTTTTGCTCCTACCACAAAGCAATCCTCAACTTGAATATGATAATTTTTATAGAAAATGTTTTTGTTGATTCACTTCATATCAGAAATAAATAATTTTTTGTATCGAATATGATGTCTCAGGATCAATGGCTTGTATGGTGTGACAAGCAAATATTTGTGTTCAGCAAATAGTATGCTGTTCTAGGATAAATGACGGGCACATATCCTTATTTGAATTGCCATATGTGTTTCATATTCTGGAAATGACACACGGCTCTTGCACAGCTAAGGTGAATAATTTATGAATATTGGTAAAAGATTATTGAAAGAGTAAATATAGGATTAAGGAAGGCAAGATGTAAGCAATTGTTTATCTGAAAGCTAAAAAGAGTGGAACTCTAAGATACCCTTTAAAATTAAATAAATGTGTTTGTAAAGGGGTTATTTCAGCATCAAGATTTTTACTAATAATCATACCAATGAATGTACAAGAACATTGCAAAACTATATAAATTAACAGCTCTAAGTTTTCATTCTTTGACCTTCTTTACATTGAATTTTCATGTTTTTAAACTTTCTGGAAACTTCTGTCCAAACTGAAATCATATTTTCAAGATACAATTTGTACTGTAAAGAGCTTGAAGAGAAAGATGAAAGAATACAACCACTGGGATATTATCCTATGTTGCATTATCATACCAATCTGGAATAATATGAATTATTTTCCCTAAAACCTCAATTTCTTGTCAAATTGCTAGAAAAAAACAAGATGAATTTGTTTTTTAATTAAAAAGTTGAAATTTGGCAAATCATAAATATTGACTACAGAATTTTGGGAATACATTTTATGGTATGTTCTTTAGTTCAACTTGTTTTTGTAATAATCCTGAGACCAATTTAAAGTCAGATGTAAAGCAATGTTTCTCAAGTATATAATAAAACTATTTTTAAATAATTTTAGAGAAAATGTAAATAATTCAACAACTACAGGAGCTGCAGTCTTACTCTTTTCTTTTACCACTAGTTTAATTTGAGGAAAATATATGAAGAAAAACCCATGATTTACTGTTGGTAATTTCTTAGTTGAAAAAAACTCCACCTATGTTGAATTCAAAGGGCAGAAAAATATAAAGCTTAAAAATACTAGTGTGTATAAGTGATAATAATGCAAATGTACATTCCAGTAATCTATATTAGATGCTGATTAACAACTAAGTGGGTGTCACCTGTGTTTTTAAGTAGCCCCAAAACAATGAGGTCAAAGACAACAGTTACCATTATCATAAGAATGCTAAAACCACCCTATCTGTCATAGTTATTTACACAATTAACCTCTTTTCTTGTCAAATTTCTAAATAAAGCAAGATAAATAGATAAAAAGTGAAAAGCTGAAATTTGGCAAGTCATAAATATTGACTACAGAACTTTAGGAATATGTTTTATTGTATGCTCTTTAGTTCAACTTACCTTTGTAATAATTCTGGGACCAAGCTGACCTATTTTTTACAAGACTTTCCTCCTTTTTATCTAATATTTGTTTAAGTGATCTTTAAAAGACTATCTTCACCCAGAAATGTTGTTCTCCATAGGGGCTCTATAAAGAACCTTAGGGACCAAAAATAGGGCCACAGAAACTAGGATAAGAGATTGGAATGGAAGTTGTTGTAAAGTCTGAAATTATTTGCAATTGAAAGGAAAGAAAAGTAAGGGCTGGATGAAAATGGTTGAGGTGAAATTCTAGATATGTGGTAAAGTAAAAAAAAAAAAGTAGCTTCATTTCCTTAGTGAAATAAGAAAAGAGAAAAATTGACTGAAATATTTAAAATCGATTTAGATATCAAAGGGGATTAACAACTCCACTAAAATATAGTTTGTCAAAAAATTTTAGATAGTTGCCACAAAGAATGTGACTAGAAAGCTTTTCTATTTTATTTTTTTCTCCCTATTTATTGGAAGGATGGCATTGTGAAAAGTACAACCTCAATTTGATCTGAAATTACCTTTATGCTAACAAAATGGTTAAGATATGGCTGGGTAAGATGTGGTGATAGCTTTCTTATAAATTATGCCAAGCACAAGCAAGCAGTACACATTCAAAATTCTTTTCTGTTTGTTTTATGTTTTAATAAAGTCTCTTCTTAATATGCTGTTTCAGAGACATTTTGAGTTGGTATGTGGCAATTATTTTGATGCTAGAATTTGTGACCATGTCATCTAGGGAAATGGTAGATCATCATAAATTCAATTAAACTTTTACTTTATTTTTAGCATTTTAGTATTTAGATGACATTCAGAGAATTCATATGATTTTTTAAAATATATAATTGCCAGTAGTAAAATATGTTCTTTTTGAGAAACCAAAATTGATGCTACTCTGCTTTGCTTCCTGAATTTTAATTTTAGCTTATATTTTTTATTTTAATTTTAACCAAATGTTTTGTGTGTTTTTTTGCAGCACTTTAGTATTTTCTATATCTGGCCTTTTAGTATATGTATTGTCTCTGTTGGCCTTCTTGTGCACTAAAATGATGTTTATAGATATAAATGTATTTTCAATTTCTCCAGATATAATGTTGCTTTCTTTCTTGCCAATAATTGATCAACTTTATTTTATGATTTTCTTAGTTATTATTTTGTCTGACAGATAGAGTATTCCTCAGAGAAATTTTAATATAGAAACCAATTACTGGTGAAATATTCAAAATTGATGGTAGAATTATATTATCAAATTTATTTATATAAACAAGTAAAATCAAACATGGGTGCAAAAAAGGTCATAATTGCATTTAAAACTGAATATGATACTGTGAATAACTATTTCTAAAAAATTACATAAAACAAAATAAAAAAAAACTTCACGGCTCAACCTTTTTAAAAGCTTAAATATTAATCTACCATCACAACTCAAAATTACATACTGTCTCAAATGAATAGCATTGATGTTAATTACTTACTAGGCATGTACTTTTCCATTCCATTAATTTAATTTTTCATGAAGTTCAAAGTATTTTCCATGTATTCAGAGGAGCTCTGTGGTGTGAGAGAGAAATATATGAAAATATATTTTTAATACTAGTTATTCATTGAAGAGATATTTATTAAGTGTCTATTATGTAGAAATCACTGTGATTATCAGGATAAATACCACTTGCTCATCTAGGGAGAGGCCATATTACAAACGGATATACAAGACCTAGACTTTAGGTATATTATATATCTATATTTCATTTTTAAATATTATTTTGTGTTTTGGCCATCAATCATCTTATTGAATACACCGAGTTTGGTTGAAAGAAGGAACTTCTTAATTTATATGTATATGAGTTACTGTTCTTTTGAATTTGAAACTTGCAAACAAATTCAACTCTAGAGAGTGGTCCAAGAGAGAACAGGTGTTTATAAATGGTCTCTACTCTCAGTAATTATTCAGCTGGGCTTATTTTTATTATATTATTTTCCCTTTTCTTTTGTTACAAAGATTGTGGTTAGCTCCCTTATTGTACTGGGATTTCTATACTTTTATCAGAAATTTTTCCTGTTCTGTGGGGAGGGACATGGTGCTTGATAAATTGTTGTTCAAGGGCGTGGCTTGTTCAAAGGTGTGGTCACTAAAGTGAATAATTGTTCAGGGAAGTAGGTTGCCTGATAAAGGAATGAGGTCATAGGATAAAGAGGCACACATTTTCAGCCTTGGTCATCCCCTTTATGTTTACAATTAAATTAAGCTATAGAAATCCCAAGTGTATCTAATTGTTGGATGAAATTGTTCATCCCAGTTGTCTTTGCCTTTTGTTTAGGGAAGTCTGGTAAATTCCTGGGCCTGTTTTTAGTCAATGGCACTCACACATAAGCTGTTTGTGTGTGTGTGTGTGTGTGTGTGTGTGTGTGTGTGTGTGTGAAGGTGGGGGACTTGAGACAAGGGGAAAAGATGAAGGGGGGTGAACTTGTCCTTTAACTATCTTGATCCAAATTCATTTTCTTGATAATTCGTGGGAGATTTGTCATGCTTTTAAACCCCATTTAAAAGTAAAAATCTTTCTAAACTAGTCTATTTGAACTAACTTTTTCTTTATACCAGAAGCTATTTCAATAGCAACACTTTTTTTGACTTCCAGTGGAGTATATATACTTCTCATTTTTTTAAAGACAGAAAGCATGTACTGCAAAGAAACTGTATACTGTATTTTCTCTCCTAGTTTCCTGTAAGAAAAGAAGATAAATTATCCTGGAATGAGTCTCTTAAATGAGAATTACTGTGGGAGGAAAGGAATGAGGGGAAGTAGTTCTATTACTAGTACATTCTAGTAATTTCTATCGCTTTCTTTACATGAGAACAGAATCACAGACTTTAATCAAGGAAGTGTTTGTTTCATCTACAGACAGATCATTGTAATTTACAAGTTTCTTCCTGTACAAAGTTCAGAATAACATCTCAACAATAAGGCAGGTGTTTAACCACATCACTGGCTTTGAAAAGTTCTAACAAAACATCTCCCATACTATTCAGGGAATTTATTCAAATGGAAGTTTACCTTGGCAAATTATGTCAGCATAAATGTCAGGTGGTTT